TGAAAACTGCAGCAGTTAACCACCAAAATTATTTCATGAATGCCCTGACCAAATTTAAAACCCCGAAACGGCTTGAACTTCAACAGCTGAGTATAAAAAAAGGCTAAATAACAAAATAAACAAAAAATATTACGAAACTTGTTACCTTGAGCGTTCTGTGGCACCAATATCGAATTTAAGTTCGGTTCAATACGTAACTCTTCTTCAGAAAAATTAAAGATGGGTGGAAGAGGTTTGCCGTTTGGTAGTTTACATTCTGGTTGACGCAATTCATCAAAGAATGTGTGAGCACAAGCGAGAAGCGGACTTAGTCTTGCACTTGGTGTATATTCAAGAAGTCGAGAAACAAGATCCACAGCTTCCGTGGCCGTTCTCGGACGGAAAACCTAAAAATAATTTATATTGTATCACTTTACATACAATAAACTGTGAAAAAGTCAAAAAATTCCTTCCATAAGTTTGTATTGTTAACCAAATTGCAAAAAAACGCTCGTTCTTACTTTTACACCTCAATCCCACCAATGAACCAAGATTATACTGAGGTAAACAAAGACATAACTAAGTGATTTTCTCGCAAGTTACTGTTCAAACTTACTGGTAAAAGTCCTATGTTGAAAACCAACAGAATTGTAAAAAATATCTTGACAAGAAAAAACCGCTGATAATAGGGCACATCAGAGCCATATAACTACTTAGATTATGCTCCCTCAAACTGTTATTAGAAATAACAAAAAAAAAGCAATGATAGCAACAGTAACAATAATAATAGCTAAAAAATATAACGAACAACCTAGTCGATAAGGCCAAAAAACGCTTGTAAAAAAATGGCCGATTAGAAGTGTCTCGGCCAAATGCAGTTACAATTAACAATTCTTCAGCATCAGGCTAACTGCAATGTTACAATAAAAAAACTACTTTAACAGAGCAACAAAGCCTTTTGTTTATCTACTCGAATAAGCACTAATTTTTGCATGTTTTCCGAAGTTTTCAACCAAGCGGTGACCTAGCAATCAACTTGTTCATTCCACTGGTTTTCTTCTGACCTCAAAACTGATATCCGAGGCCATCGAACTATATCCTAAGTAAACTGCTCTAGGTACTAACATAAAGCTACAAAACGAAACCTTCAAAAAGCCAGTTCAAAGAAAAATAGACAAACAAGGAAAAAACTCGAAGGAAACTTCTGTTAAATGGCTAACAAAAAAGCCTTCTTCCTTCCTCGCTTTGCCTTGTGTTTTCTAATAAAGAAAAAAATATATAATGATCATAGGTAACACACAAAAGGTATAGAAATAAGAACGTCAATATTTTCATCCGATTTTTGAAAAATTCTTACGCGCTGCCAAGGATTCGCTCTTATTTGAGGAAATCTAAAGTCTGTGTAGTTTGGATTCATCTGCTGTATCTGATCACGTGTGGGAGTCCCCAACACTTTTATAATCTCAACTAATTGGTCGACTCCTGAGTCTCCGGGAAATATGGGTTGTCCAAGAAGCAGTTCTGCCAAGACCGTCCCCGCTGACCAGACATCTAAAGAGAGGGAATTACTGAAATGCGGTGTCCTATGATAATCATACTTTTCCAAGAAGCAAGTCTGAACTGGAACAGAAGAATAGAAGCAAAAAAATTTTATTAAAAATTAACTGTCATGTAAAACGTGTGAGAAAGAAAAAGTAATTCAGTGTAAAACCAGACAGAAAACGAGTTGAAATACTGATTCGCATCCGATGCATGAAAACTGCTTACCAATACTTGTTGTATAATCGGTAGCACCAAATATTAATTCTGGAGCTCGATAGTACCTTAAATTTAATATAAGCTCCATAATGAAAAATGCAAGTAACTCTAAAAAAGACCAATTTTTATGAATAAACTTTAAAGGCAAGACTACCTGGAACATATGTATGACACATTTGGCTCTCCACGTACAAGGTGCTTTGCTGAACCAAAATCACAGAGTTTTAAGACTGCAGTATCAGGATCCAACAACAAATTTTGTGGTTTTATATCTCTGTGGCAAACCCCAAGATTATGAATATAGGCCAGTGCCCGAAACAGCTGATACATGTATAACTAAAATGAAAACACACTTACTATTCATTCTCGCCCCCTTCTTAAAAATAATTATTTCAAATCAAACTTCCAGATACTTCAAGGACACTAATACTTCCACTCATTCGCAGAGAAAATACCATGACCCATTAAAATGACAAATTTTATTGCTTCATTATTTATTACTTTCAACTTTGTCAGGCGAAGCAAAAAAAATGCATGATAGCTAAAGCTCCTTCAAGGCCCATAAAATACAGAAAATTCGGAAAAGAATGTTAATAGAAAAACTATTTTTAAAATTACCTTCACATATATTATAGGAATAATTTGTCGCTGTTTAGAATAATGACGTGCAACGCGATAAACCGTTTCCGGAACATATTCGAGAATGAGATTAAGAAAGAGATCATCCTTCTACAACAATAATAATCAGAACAGATTTTTCACTCTAAATAAAACTTTATAATAAAACTATATTGATAAAAAAATGTGCTGCTAGGGTTTCTATATCCTCACTCACTGTATAACTAATCTCATCATACAGTTAAGAAAGCAGATATTGGTCCTTAAGAGCAAGGCTACCTTATTAAAAAACAAAAAAATCACTTCTGCAACCAAAGAGGTTTATCAGGCTTCACTTAAAGCTTAACAGCATTATGGATTTCAGCAACAGCTTCTAAGAATTTCACAAATTAGAAATCTTCTACTTTTAACTGTTAAGCTTTAAAAAAAGCAGCTGAGAGAGGAAAACGCAGCAGCTTATTATTAAAAATACTGAAGGCTTAAGCCGATAAAGAAGAGCAACGCAGAAAGCACAAAAACCCACCTTTTCACCGCTTGAAAAGAAAAAATATTTCAACTTGACAATATTTTGATGTTCCAGCTTCCGCATTATTTGCAGTTCACGATTCTGAAATCAAAGGTGCCAAACATATCTTTGGAAACCCAAAAATTTCCTTCAAAAAATGATGTAGAAGCAAAGCCGGCGAAAAAAGGCCATTAAGACACTCACATAAAAACAATAACAACAACTTTTTTTACACCAAAGGGAAACTAAACGCTCAACAACCACTCCAGTTTAACAATAATTTCCTAGAAACAAAACAGCCATAACAGACAATAAAAAAACAAAAAAAACCCTTTATGACCTTCGCAGCATTCGGAAAAACCCAAAAAATACTCATTACCACACAAAAATCTGCCACTGAGAAAAAAAAAAGCTGAAAGGAAATTTTTCAAAGCAAAAAATCACTAGCACGAAACTTCTGCATTTACTAGATCAGGTGGAAATAAGCCAAAAACAAGCTGGAAGGAAGTCTCCCAAAACAAAAAATGACTAGCAGAAAACTTCTTCATTTACTAGATCAGGCAGAAATACGCCAAAAACATGAAAAATTGCAGTCAAAAATAAAACACAAGAGAACAAAGTACGTAACCAAATAAGCGCTGAAAAACGTGTCATCTTAAATTTATGACCGACTCCACCATGAATTTACAGCAAACCAGGACCAAGAACAGTCAAAAGCCAAATATATGACCAAAAACAAATGAAGCGATCAAACTTACTTTAAATCTTTTGTCCTGCAGCACCTTTTTGATTGCAACAAGCTCACTGGTGTCAGTCAACTTCGCCAGATATACGACGCCGAAAGAACCATTACCAATTACCTAAAATGCAATCTATCACGGTTTTTCATTTCAAAAATAAAAAGTCGACCCCACGAACTCAAACACTTACAAAGTTATTACGAAAAAACTTATTTCTTAGTAGCTCAATAAATAAGTGTGTTGGCAGTAGCACACACACACACAAAAGGATAATGAATACTTCAGAGAGGAAAAATATTCCGCTAAACTACACCGCATTTTAATTAGCACCGGTTCCTTGTGCAAAACCGAATAAAAGTAACCTAACATCAATAAAATTATCAGGAAGCAACAAGAAATCTTGTACAATTTTACAACTGCCGAATTAATAAATAAAGAAGTTCGGAGTGAAGCATGCTCTCAATACGACAAAAATTATGCAATCCTGTAGTAATACCAATTTCTTTTGTTAGTAATAACTAGGCCGAGAGTTCTGACAAAACACAAGCATCACCACATAAGACCCTGTTAATTTTGAAGGAAAATAACAGTAGTGTCGCTCAGCTTCAATGAACAAATAACAAGTACCTTTGCATCAGAGTACTGAACTTCAACCTGTCGGTCAGGTCCATATCCAGGAGTGGCCACGACAGTGGTCACGCGACCATCGCCCTTTGTCGGAAAAAGCTGCTTATTCATCACGCAGCTGTCTAGAAATTCAAAAAATTGTCTAAGAGATGCATAACAGCGCAAAAGGAAAAAAAACAACACATAAAAATCAATAAAAGGAATCGAAAAGAACCTTTAGTGCCAGAAAAAATGATTCATAGAATATAGGCAAAAATTTAAAGGTAAAACTACCCCACGTTTGAAATCACTTAATGGAAATTTTGATTTCCAATCTAAAGAAGCGAGAAAAAAGAGAATTATAAGACAATGCGTTCGCATGCAACAACAAAAAAAAAAAAATATATATATATATATATATATA